GTGAAAAAGCATGTTCAAGATATAGTACATGCTTACAATAAGAGGAGGCTGTGAGTTATTACTTTACATTTGCAAGTAATGTCTTTCTGAATTCACATCAAGCCTTGATTCCTTTTGACTGGACTGGATTAGAAACCAGAGCGCAGGAGATCTGAAACAGGGAGCATGGAAGAAAGTAAAGGCCCATTCATGTGAGTTTTGTATTAATCAAAATGTTATAGTTTGGAAGCTAACCACAAACCTACTTAGAAAATATTGATCAGCTTATTCATACACAGAATGTTGCTAAATGAATTTAATTGGTGGTATTTTATTAGATTGTTTACCAAAAATGCTCTTATTGTGTAAGCTCATAAAAAGTAGATCATAAGTTTTCTTATCCGTTCTCAGTCATTCTTTGGTATCTTATCATTACATACAAAAGAGAGTTCTATTCAACTTTCTAAGAAAGCCAGCTGTATTTGCACAAAAGTTCTCTGAATGCTGAAAAAAAGTGAAATCAACTGAAAGCGGTCTCCTAATTTAAACTGGAGGTGGTTGAGTTGCTCCTTATTAATTGTGTGATATGGAAACACTAAAGAAAGGTATACTTTGATTATTTATCTCTTTTCTTCAACCTGCAAATCTGACATGGTGTTCAGGAGCAAATACAGTAATCCTTTGTAATTTTTAAAAATGAAGGGAAGAAAATATTTGTAAATATGTAAATTATTATTTTTATAATAAACTAGAGTGACCAATTGAATAAATTGGTTTTATATGCATTTATATACATGTTGATGTAATATTCACCAGCTAATTTAATGGGGCTGAGAATAACAATTCAATTTAAGCTAGATTCTGAGGACTTGTAGTTAATTTTTAGCACTAAGACATTGGGCACAATTCTGTCCTATAATCTCCCCAGTCCTTTTATACACTTTTATTTGTTCACAACATTACTATGTTTAGTTAGTGTAGCTACAATTAAGGTATATCTATCCTGTGGAATGGTGGTTTCTGGGTTTGGGAATTAGGAAGATGATAGTTTTGTACAATGACCAAGTAGCAACAGTAGGAACTGACCATGGAACAACAGACTGGTTCAAGATTGGGAAAGGCATACGGCAGGGTTGTATGCTCTCACCCAACCTATTCAACTTGTACGCAGAACACATCATGCGATGCGCAGGGCTTGGCGAATGCAAAGCTGGGGTTAAAATTGTTGAAAGAAACATTAACAACCTTAGATATGCAGATGATACCACTTTGATGGCCAAAAGTGAGGAGGAACTGAGGACACTTATAACCATAGTGAAAGAAGAAAGTGCAAAAGTTGGGTTTCAGTTAAACATAAAAAAACCCCAAGATTATGGCAACAAGACTGATTGATAACTGGCAAATAGAGGGAGAAAACGTGAAGGCAGTGACAGACTTTGTATTTCTAGGTGCAAAGATTGGTGCAGATACAGACTGCAGCCAGGAAATCAGAAGATGTTTACTTCTTGGGAGGAAGGCAATGACCAATCTCGATAAAATAGTGAAGAGTAGACATATCACACTGGCAACGAAGATCCGCATAATCAAAGCAATGGTATTCCCCGTAGTAACCTATGGATGTGAGAGCTGGAGCATAAGGAAGGCCGAGCAAAGGAAGACAGATGGTTTTGAACTGTAGTGCTGGAGGAAAATTCTGAGAGTGCCTTGGACCACAAGAAGATCCAACCAGTCCATACTTCGGGAAATAAAGCCTGACTGGTCAATGGAGGGAAGGAGATTAAAGGCAAAGATGAAGTACTTTGGCCACATCATGAGAAGACAGGAAAGCTTAGAGAAGACAATGATGCTGGGGAAAGTGGAAGGAAAAAGGAAGAGGGGCCAACCAAGGGCAAGATGGATTGATGGTATCCTTGAAGTGACTGGCTTGACTCTGAAGGAGCTGGGGATGGTGACGGTCAACAGGGAGCCCTGGTATGGGCTGGTCCATGAGGTCATGAAGAGTCGGAAGCGAGTGAACAAATAAACAACAAAGTTTTGAATGGGGCAGCCATCTCCCTGAGAGAGAGGCTAAATATTCTTGGAGCACTCTTTGTTTCAGAAAATAACAGCAAAAGCCATTTATCCTCAATAGTAAAGAGGGTTTATGGCTAACTGCAATGAGACCAATAAATTGAACTAAATGTCCAGCTGAATAATAGTGGTTGCTGTTATGATAACTTCCTGACAGAGCTATGTGGTACCTCCTGGAAACATGCTTCCATAGAAGTTTGCTGCCTTACCACTTCATCACATGGAGGCTTTTACCCATTGTAGGATGCTTCCAGCATAGTTATGGGACGGAGTCCACTGGATTCCATGAAATGACGCACAGCTTATTCTGGTAGGGCTCTGTCCCCACACTGTGCAAAAAGCGTCCTACCTAAAGAAGAAACCAACTGGGACCTTGTAAAAGACTACTTAAAACAGATGAAAATATATCTCATCTGCTGAAGACATTCAATCTTAAGGGAAAAAGAAGATGTAGGGGGAAGCACAACAATTATAACATAATATTAATTCCAAATAAAATTAATGGCCATCAAAAGCAAGAAGGAAGTCAACAAATATATATTTTTCATTTTTTTTACAGTTTTTAGAGTTTCTAATGTTTCATTTTTTCATTTTTTTCTCTTTTTTTCCTCTTTCCTCTTTTTTCTTTCTTTTTCCTACTTTCTATACAAGCAAATGTTCTCCCACTTAAAATGTAAAGGAAATACTGTCTTTGGATTTCTTTTTTCGTTTTCTTTATTTCACATGATAAAATTTCAATAATAATAATAATAATAATAATAATAAACTTCCTATGAAGATGCAAGGTGAACATGGGAGCCTTCCCGTGTTCTCACTGCCAGCATAGTAGACAGCACGAAGGGAAACCAAGCAGCAACGCTTTCCCCCAAATGTTGGGGAAAGCAGCGCAGTGGGTGATGAGGGGCATGGGGCAATGAATTCCCCCATTGACCCATGGATTTTGCGTGATGCCTGGTGAATCTCCCTGCCATCGCCAGCATTAGAGCACTTAATGTGATGAAGTCCTTAGTGATTACATGGACAAGTTGCAGTGAGCCTAGTGCATTTCTGCCTAAACCTCTGTAATTATACTGCCTGAACAAACTACCAAAGGGGCCATCTAGAAGGAAATCTAGCTGAGGTGGAAGAAATCTACAAAAGTCAGATCTGGCTTGGAACCAGGGCCTTCAGAGTTCCTAGCTGTGACCTTCAGGGTTCCGAATCTCTTCTTGCTAGATTGAGTGAAATGAAAGATCTCTGAATGCTGAAAACTTGGGCCTAGCAATATGAATACAGTGTTTGGTGGGGGATAGCCAGGAGAATAGACAATATTGTAGTGGGTTGAGCTAGGAGTGTCCATTCATTCCACTGCACTCTTACCGGCCAAGTTTACTACAGTACAATTCTCATATCCATGGATGATACATTCCGAGAGTCCTTGCAGATAGCTGAAACCATGGACAAAAGTAAACCCAATGCTTTGACTATACTTGGCCAGACGTGTGGCATAGAACCACATGTTGGACCTAGAGCATCCCACAAACATGAATGGAAATGCACTTTTAAGTGAAAATGGTTTTCAAGTGAAAATGGCTTTCTGGAGGAAATAGAAATGTACACATCACTTTACAGGCTCACTAAGAACATAGTTTATGGACAATCACAATGTGCCTTCATTGTACAAGATTGGAAAGGTGTCAGGGTGGGAACTCAGACATTTTTAACTCAGTTAAAAAGAAACCCAAACAAATCTCAAAAATACATTTTTTCTACAACTAAAAAAATTCCCTTTTTTCTGCAGGTGTAACAGCATGTGTTTTTTCTTTGCCATGCTGGTGATACAAGGAAATGTGATTCCAGAAGAAGCCAAAAGCAATGCAGAAATTAATCCTGAACAATTTATGAACATTGTAAGTTGAGCTATAAGATCATCAGTTAGCAACTGTGATGGGGGTCACTTTTCATGATTCCGTGGCATAACATTTTACAGCTAGCCCTCCATATTAATAGATTCCTCATCCATGGATTCTAGCATCCATAACCTGAATATATATATTTGTAAAAAATCTAAAATGTACATCTTGAATTTCCCATTTTATATCAGGGCAGAACTTTACTATGCCATAATTGGACATGAGCATCCATAGATTTTGGTTTCCACAGGGAGTTCTGGAACCAAATTTCAACAGTACCTTTGGCTGATAAGCAACTGAAAATGTGATCTGGAAGTACATGCTTCTGGCCTTGGGAAACATTTAGAACTCAAAGTAAATGTTAGGCTGGGACTGGTGATGATTGAAAGGCTTGTTTGGGATTCTTACCATCCCTTCAGGCATTCTTTGTGTGTTTTGAGATTTTTGTCTTGGAGAAGTTGGATCTGGCCATGGAAGCAAATGCCTTGGTTATATTCTGTCCAGATTAGAATAATGTGATCTACATGGAGCTGTCTTTGAAAAAAATGTACAGTAGTTTCAGTTGGCCCAAAGGCTTGCAGATGGCTGTTAGCTAGGACTTACAACAAGGAACACACAACTCCAATGTTGTAACAGCCCCACTGCTTCCCAGTTCATTCCTGATCACAAATCAAAGTACTAGTAATAACCTGTAAAGCACAATGCTTTGGGCCAGGCTATCTAAAAGAGTATTCTTGTGGTCCAATGGTTTAAAGTTCCATGAGAGTAGATTTTGACTGAACTTTAGAAGAGCAGATCACCATGGAATAAATTGCTTAGAGAGATAGTGGGTGTACAGAAGTTGATTGTAAATGATATGATTATAAACTGTATTGATTGTAAATGATATTATTATAACTGTATTTGTGTTTACACTGGTTGCCCTAATGCTGGAGCGGCCTAGCTGTGAGGAGTGTGTTACCATGGAAACATTGCTGTAGAGAAGTGGGAGGAGCTTAGAGAGGGGAGTTTTTGAAAAGCGACAGTTAAAAAAGTTAGTTAGGTTTTATGCTCAGAGGAGTGAAGAGTCATGAAGAGTTAGGGTTTAGGCTCAGAAGAGTGCACAGTCATGAAGAGTCAGGGTTGAGGCTCAGAGGAATGAAGAGTTAGGTTTAGGCTCAGGGAAGTGAAGAGTTGAGAGAGAGAGAGAGTGGGAAGTAAAGAAGCAGTGTTTGTGAATAGTCGGAGGTTTCTTCAGTTCGGGAAGGCTGAAGGGGAAATCTTATTAGTTTTATTAGTTAGAGAAGACTAATAGAAGCTCGTTTAGATCACTAGTTAAAAGTGAACTAGAGATCTAAAGGTTTGATCACGGAAGGGTCAAACAGGAAGACTATTCACCTCAGGAACCATTGTTTAATAAAGTGCTTCACCACAGCAAAGGTTATTTATAAGTTGTAACATCAGAAGACTGAACTGTATCGCAACCAAGTTATATGTAACGTTCTCCAAGTATTTTCCAAGTTTATCACCAAACTGCAACCATACCCTTTGTTTCAAAATAAACTTGTTCTCTTTGATTGTAAAACTGCCTCATCTCCATTAATTCTGCGTTTAGTGTGCCCAATCTCCCAAAATTACCTCACATCACCAAATTGGTGGCACCATTAAGGATAATAAATAATAAATCGTAACTTCTCTCTCCTGGGACCTCCCTTGCCGAATCTGGGGCCCGAGCTCCTTCGCAGTGGGGTTCCTCTTTGAATGACTTCAAGGGCAGGTTGGACAGCTACTTCTTGAGAATGCTTTATCTGGAGATCCTGCATTAAACAGATAGTTGGACTAAATGGCCCATAAGCTCCCTCCAAACTCTATTATTCTATTTATTTGCCATGTCAGGGCAACCAGTCAATTGTATTACATTTCTAACAGAACAAAACAAACAAACAAACAAACAAACAAACAGACAAAACATAAAATTTGCAAGTTTGGTAGTTGATTAAATGTCCTTTGACCAGTATCTGGCCACTTAGAGTGCTTCTGGTGTTGCCGCAAGAAGGTCCTCCATTGTGCATGTAGCAGGGCTCAGATTGCATTGCAGCAGGTGGTCTGAAGTTTGGTCTTCTTCACACTCGCATGTCATGGATTTATTATTATTATTATTATTATTATTATTATTATTATTATTATTTATTATTATTATTATTATTATTATTTATTCTATGACTGTAGACTTTTAAAAACTGAATAAAGATGAGTTTTTAATGAAGTGATCAGAGCTCTTACTGTTTATATAATATTGTAAATAATGTTAGTGTTTTTAAATATATAAATTAATTTTCTTTAAATAATTTATAAATTTATATTTTATTACAGTTTGTGTATAGTTTTTTTTAACAATTCTGTATTGTCCTATATATATTGCAAGATACATTGCTACCATTACTGGAGTAAGGCAGGATATATATAATTGCCATACTAACTTTCAGGAAATTATTTTGTACAGAAACATACATTATCGCACAAACATGGGTTCAAGAAATATATACAAGTACAAATATATGCTATGAGTTCCAGATCTAAGAAACAAATGTTTTCAACAACTCTTTGTGTAATCAGCAAATCCGATATCAACTGTGGCAACAAAATATGTGCATAAATATGCATAAACATTCTTTTCACAAAACTGGAGGGGATTGGTTGATCAGGACCCCATATAATTAGAAAACAGGTATTTCTTTCTTTCTTAAACAGAAAATACATTTTTACACAAGAATCATATATGTATTTATATGCAGATTAATTTACCCACACAATTAAGAACTTTTGAAAACCAGAGGAAAACTGCAATTCATTTCCTCCTGCAGCAAGAAGAAGCTATGGATTTATTATTTTAGCATGTGAGGAGGAAATAGTTGAAAATTCACATCCTTGTTCCCCACTATTTTGCCATGATCTAAAAGACCACCTTTTTCTGTTTGCCTTCAGCATTGTCAGATTTTATGCAGATCTGAAGAATACAGATCTGCATACAATTTGTGGCTTTTTGAAAGTTCATTTTGCCTCTTACAACAGTTTATAAGTTAACTTTCAGATACTGCTTAAAAATTCCAAACAAAGGTGAATCTTATCTTTATCTGGCATTCTTCCAGAGTGAGAAAATCCTGCACTGGGGATACCCTTCTGAAGAATACAATGTCCTTACAGAAGATGGTTACTATCTGAGTGTGAACAGAATACCAGGAGGTAAATAAAAAAATAATAGATCCAAGTAAGTGTCCCCCTGGGGGTGGGGGGTAATAACCACCCTATTTGGCCCCAATTAATTGGCTGAGAAACCGAGAGAAAAATGTCAACTCCCATCATGCCCTGGGAGGAGTGTAGAGGCTTTTCAATGCCCACCCCACACAAGTGCTGCTTGGAAACTGAGTTCCCAGCAGGGCCCTCTCTGGAGGAGGGGGCTAGGGAAGTTTTCCTGAAGAAACAAGGTATATTGCTGGTGGGAGAAAAACGAGAAGGAGCCCTCTGACTCAGGTAAAGTGCAGTTAATCCCATCAGCTCCAGTAGGCAAAAGATCCAGCTCCTCTTGATTTGTTTTGGCCGGCTTTCTGGGTCCCCGTCCCCCCCCCAGTCCTGTTTTTGGGGACTTAGCCACTGAATCACCGAATTTTCCAAATCAGTTTCAGTCCAAACAAATAAGGACACAGCCCTAATAATTATATGATTGCACTCTTTCAATATCTAAAAGGCTGGCAAAGACAGGAGCGGCAAACATGTTCTCTCCTCTCCCAGGGTGTAGGAGTAGGGCTAAGGATGAATGGTACCTCTTTAGAGCCTCACTTTAGACTTGGGACTAGCATTGTGCTCCACTTTCCTTTACTCAACCACAGTCCCTTTTACACAATGAATGACAGCTACCAAAACTCAGCAGGTGAAGGGAGCTTTTGAAACCCAACCCAACACCCTAGTTACTTTCAATGTTTTGCCTATATTAATGGTATGCATTCATCTTTCAGGCTCAAAAGCAGCCATATTGCTAATGCATGGCTTAATTCTGGAAGGCAGTGTATGGGTAGCAAATTTGCCCCATCAGAGCCTAGGCTTCATACTAGCGGATGCCGGATATGATGTGTGGATTGGAAACAGTAGAGGGAATTTCTGGTCTAGAAGACACAAAAATCTTACAATTGACCAAGAAGAATTTTGGGATTTCAGGTAAATTTGTTTTATTTGTAATCCGTTTTTAAAAAATTCAGAGCAGAAAGGGGATTTTCTTTTAGTTTGGTGTCCAAAGTATGATTTTCATTTACCAATCTTGCTTTCATTGAAATATATTTGGTAATTGGCATGAAGACTGATGCAATTCTTGGAGGAAAGCAATTATATTCCTATTATATGACTGTGTTCTTTTTAAATATGACTAAAAACCTAATCACTCCCACCATATTTGTTTTGGGCCTTCTGAAAACAGAGTGCCAGGATTGTAATATAAACATATCCAGAGAGCATCTTGTTAGGGAGGTCAATCAATTTCTGTAACTATTTCATTTCAATATGAAAATTTCTCCAAATATCTGTTCTAAGGTTCAAATTCAGCTGTATTTCATTCAGATGCAGTTCTATAGGAAGCTCGGTGTTCTGCATTATTACTTAGAAGTAAATTCAACGAGACTCAGCAAAATCAAATTAACAAGTAATTTTGACTGCAACGCTAAGCAGGTTTTCCTCGATTGTGAGGACTCAAAGTTTCACAACCATACTTCAATTGAAATGTGGCCTTAGGTCTTGCTGAAATTTTGCATTCCAGCAACAGTTGAGTACCTGGATTTCTGTTGACACCATGAACTGTTCCTTACTCTCAGTAAACTTGATTTACACCTATGGTTCAAGGCCCAAATCTTATTATATCCATTTGGATGCAGTGGGCTGTCAATGTGTAAGATTATGATGTAAATCTGTTTTACGCTAGCTTGAAACTACTGTCCCGAGAAACAGCTCTTCCTTTTCTCATTTAGGGCAAAATGTATATAATGAAGGCTCATTTTTACTTTGTGAGCACAGAAAACATGGTCTGTTGTTCAGAAAACATTTTTACATAGAAAAATGTTTTCCACTAACTCTCCCTCATTTGGATTTTTGGAATAATAAACTATGAATTGCAAATAGTCAACCCAAATGTCACAGGTTTGAAGAACATTCTTCAATATTGCTATTACTCATCCTTGCCCAGAGAACAAAACTTAAAAGAATATCTATCAATCTTCCTTATCATTGCACTACCACTTTCTAGAAAGAGAGTCATTGCACATGAAGTTGGTAATTTACGGTATCTTTTGACTTGCAGTTTTCATGAAATGGGCACCTATGACCTTTCTGCCATAGTGAACTTTATTCTGGAGAAAACAGGGCAGGAGAAGATTTATTATGCAGGCCATGAACAGGGGTCTACAATAGGTATGTTAAAAATGAAACCTTGCTTTCTGCCCAGAAAGTTTTGCCTATGCCTAGCACTTTCTTTCATTTCAAGGATAGTAGAAATGATATGTTTGTCGGGGAGTGGTGGTGAGGTTATCAGGTATTTGGATGCCCCAAATCAAGATGTCATGGGATGATCCAGTCCTGCAATAACTGATGACTGTTGGAAGTAAATAAAGACTTTCACCTTAAGGCCTGAACTCTTTACTGAGGAATGTACTTGGACACACCTATCAAGAATCACTAAGTAAAGTAGGGAGCCACCCAGTAAGACTGACGCCACTGAGTTTAATTGAAGTCATATGGGCTTATCTCTAAATACTTTAATAAGGCTTTACTTCTGTTTTACTTGTAGTTGTCTCTCCCCCCAACTTTTCAAGTAATTTGTAACTAGTGACTGCCATGGGCAAGGTTGGCAATTTGATATATGAACTTATTACACAGTCTATTACCTCATGTATGATATCCTTTGTTTACAGGTTCCATCACATGACACATAGTCCTCTTTTTAGGTAGTTCATAAGCACTCATAGAAAAATAAACTGCAGATAGTACCTTTTGTAAAATGGATTGGAAATTGTGTGTCAGAGGTATAGTTTTTGACATGTTAACAGACTATGAGATTTGCTTTGCCAATAGTAGCATAACAGATTATGGGATCCCCACTGAAATAATAATAATAATAATAATAATAATAATAATAATAATAATAATAAGTGAAACAAACGGTAGAAGAAGAGAAACATGAACTGGCAGATTATGTGAAAGGCACTTAAGAACCAACATCGAGGGAAGTCAATAGTAGTAAATTGCTTAAAGTGCAAAAGACAAAGAGTGAATACTGTAAAAACACAATCCAGAGCAGAAGAGAAAACTGGCAAAAGATGGCTCTTCATGGGACAGTTCCTGAGAAAAATTGAGAGCCAAATTGACATAGAAAAAACATGGCTGTGGCTCACAAATGGAACTTTGAAAAAGGAGACAGAGGGCCTGATTCTGGCAGCCCAAGAAGAAGCCATTAGAACAAACGGCATCAAAGCCAGAATTGAAAAGTTGACGACAGATCCCGTGTAGACTCTGCAAGGAAGCAGATGGAACAATAGATCACATCCTCAGTTGCTGCAAGAAGATCGCGCAGACAGACTACAAGCAGAGGCATAACACCATTGTTCAGATGATTCATTGGAACCTGTGCCACAAATACCATCTGCCTGCGACAGATGGTATCACAAGCCGTATAAAGTTACAGAAAATGAACACGTCAAACTCCTCTGGGACTTCCGAATTTAGACAGACAGAGTTTTGGAGCACAATACCCCTGACCCCATGATTGTGTTAAAAAACAAAGTATGGTTCGTTGATGTTGCAATCCCAGGTGACAGCAGGATTGAAGAGAAAAAACTGGAAACTGGCATGATACAAGGATTAAGAGATCAAACTGCAAAGACTCTGGCACAAGCCAATCAAGGTGGTCCCAGTGGTGATCAGCACACTGGGTGCAGTGCCTAAAGATCTTGGCCTGCACTTAAACACAATCGGTGCTGACAAAATTACCATCTGCCAGCTGCAGAAGGCCACCTTACTGGGATCTGCACACATTATTCGCTGATACATCACACAGTCCTAGACACTTGGGAAGTGTCCAACGTGTGATCCAATACAACAGCCAGCAGAGTGTCTGCTGTGGACTCATCTTGTTGTGTTTCAAATAATAACATTAATTTAACACATGACAGAGAGTTTGCTTTGCCAGAAGTGATGTAACAGATCATGGGATTCCTGCTGAAACAATAACAACAATAATAGCATACAAGAGAACAAATTAGTGGCACCATGAGAAATCAGTGATGGTTTCAGCCAATAGCTTTGCTGGTTCTGTGTGAGTGCAAGTTATTTCCAACTTCTAATGGGGATTTATTGGCAAGGTTTATTCAGAAAGGATTTGCTACTGTCTTCCTCTGAGAAAATGTGACTTGGCCAAAATCACTCAGGGAGTTTCCAGGGATGAGCCTGGCTTCCTGAAATCTGTTAAATATGACACAACTCTGGGTCTAGCATAACACTATATGTCTATACAAACTGAATGCAAAATAATCTTATATTCATCCTACATTTTGAGATTTAAGTCTGGAATGAATGTGGACTTCAAAACAATTATTTTGTTGTTATTGTTGTGTGTCTTTGAGTTTTTTCAGAGATTTTCTTGGTGAGATTTGTTGAGAGGGAGTTTGCTCTTGCCTTTATCTGAGACTGGGAGTGTAATTTGCCCAATGCCAACAACTAAACCATGCTGGTTCTGATCTTATGCACATCTAAATCAGTTTATTGGAGTTTATGACATGCAAGAGGACATTTAATTTCAACCTTCATTTAGCAAGTTTTTATCTGTAAGTACTGTGCCCTAGTGTCTATTTTTAATGCACGCTAAATAGTGTTTATTCTATCTTCCCAGCTTTTATTGGATTTTCTATACTTCCGCAACTGGCTGAAAAAATAAAGATATTTTTTGCTTTGGGACCTGTTTATACATTCTATTACTCTGTAAGTCCAGTTGTACAACTTCTACTTTTGCCAGAGGCAACATTAAAGGTATGTTTTTCATCAGAATAATAATAATAATAATAATAATAATAATAATAATAATAATAATAATAATCTTTATTTGTACCCCACCACCATCTCCCCGATGCTAATAATAAACAACAAAAATAATAAACAACAAAAATGCTAATAATAAACAACAATAAAGTCATTACATAAAACAAATGAAAACATAGCAATATAAAATTAGAATAAGCACAATCACAATGACAATGGGCAAGCTACATGTAATGGATAAAAGAAAGGCTGATTAAAAGCAGATTAAAAACTCAGGCGAGATAAAACAGAAACAGATTATTTGCAGAGGAGAGCTCATTATAGTGGAGGTCCTAGAACCAAGATTTTCTCATTTCTTTCATTGCCTATTAATACATTTAAAGATCAGCATTTTGTGAGAAGTCACATTAAAATTTCACATTAAATAATTTAAATACATTTTGGATGAAGAGGGTTTCTTTAAAAAAATAATAATGCAGGCATGGTTCAGAGGGAATTCTTAGTAAAGAGATGAGAAACGGATGCCAACCAGGAACTACTCTGCCTACCTTTACCATGAGGAGTTCTGTGCAAAACTTGGAAATAAAACTTGGAACAGTGATGGAATTGTAAAGAATGATGCTTCCACTCCAGACTCAAACGTGATCATTTGTAACTCTCTAAACACTAGGGTAAATTTATGTGGGCTCTACTTCAGTCTGATCTCCAATTTGAACTATATCTATATAAATAAAAATGTAATGTTCATTTGTGGGATTAACATAACTCAAAAACCACTGGACGAATTGACACCCAATTTGGACACAAGATACCTAACAGGCCAACGAGTGACCATCATTCATAAAAACACTGGAAAACACAGCTAAAGGGACTTAAAAAGTAAAAAAGAATTACTTGCAATGTATGCGCAAAACCACAGATATACACACACATATATACATACAAAACACATACACAGAGACTGGGCCACAGCAATGCGTGGCAAGGGATGGCTAGTAGACATTAATTTTTATAATCTTAAATAAATTTGGGTTTAACTATTGCTCCATTAGTTCATTTGCAAAGTTCAAAATGTAATGAATCTGTGGATTTTACAGGTTATCTTTGGCACAAAAGAATTGTGCCTTCTGGGACCACAGATAAGAAAATTTCTGGCTCGAGAGTGCAGCAGGCAATTCATAGATGGAATCTGCAAAAAAGCTCTTTCACTTGTCAGTGGTTTCAATCTGAAAAATCTAAATGAGGTATTTATGTATTTGAAAGGCTCAGTTTTGTATGAACAGAAAGCACAAAGTCTATTTTAAAATGTGAAGATATTTAAGTTCCTGGGGGGGGGGGGACGGACCCTTTTGGGATGTTCCTAGATCCAGATGCAATGGACAATGTTTTTAATAGGAGATCCTAATGTTCACATTTTTATTGATTTTGTTATGGTTTTTATTATCCGATTGTTTTATTGTATTGAAATTGTATTTTATGGTCTTACAAACCACTCCAATTGTAAACCACCCCAAGTTGCCTGCGGGCTGAGAGGGATGGTATACAAATATAGTAAATCAATCAATCAATAAGATGCTATGTTTTCTAAGTTTGGATAAGTCAACCTTTGAAGTTCAAAGAAGGCAAATTTTCATTCAGCTGAATATCTATTGCTCAAATCAGGTGGCTCTGAAATTTTACAAAATGACTGAAAGTATCAGATCAGGTGTGTTGGCCTATTGGCCTTCTTAAATGAGTCAATAATCTTTTGTCACGGTGTTCCTCTTCCCATGGATTCACCATTGGAAAGTGATGAATGTATCCCAAGACATCACCTGAGTTGGGAAAATGTTTTGCCAAGTGGACAAGTAAATAGGAGTACAATCGGTATCTAGAGAACTTGCTCTTATGGATGTCACCAGATATTACCATATTTACGCAAATCGAATGCCATATCGAATCTAAAGCCCACCTCAATTTTCAAAATCTTGAAACCAATTCTTTTTTGCTGGTGAATGCAATGTGCAGTAGCAAAAACTACACTCCTTACAATTCACCAATTTTGCCCTGAGTTTGATAATGTGTTTTATAAGCACAGTTCTGTATAAGAAATTATTAGTCCCATCTGAGTGTCTGCCTATCATTTCGTAGACGGGGGGAGAGAGCTTTGCATGGTCTACTTTATTTCTTAGTTTTTACTCGTTATTTTAGTTACAAAAGTAATTTCCTTTCATTACTTGTTTGTCATTACTTGTTTTTCATTCACCTATGTCATTCACCCTTGCAATGTTTCAATGTTGATATGACCTAAAAAATGCACACTCAGCAAGCCTTGATCACTCCATCTAGGGAACGACAGGCAGACACTCTACCACCAATGTTCAAAGTAAAACATTAAATAACATTATCTATGAAACATTCAGGGAAAATATTGAAGTTGGGTCTAAAATAGTCTTATAGAAAACCAGTCTGAGCACCACCACATAACTTCCACTTTTCCATAGAGTAGAATCTGTAAGCTGAATAAAATATACCTACCGGGGGGAGGGCAATATTTGCAAGGGGGGCACTAGAGTGTTATCAGTGGTGTTTTTGGAGTTTGCAATTGAATCTAACATGCCATCTAATTTGATGTGTATCCTAACTTTCTCAATGTAATTTGGCCAAAAAAAGTGTGTTTTACATTCAAGTAAATATGTTCCAGCTCCTTCCTAGGATGCTTCCAGGACGGAGCCTGACAGAGCTCATTACATGACACTTCCAATGGAGCTCCATCCTGGCAGCGTACTAGGAGGAAGCACAGGAAACACAGGAGGCAGCGGATTTGCCCCACTGCCCCATGGATGCCTCCTCAGTGTCCCAGCTTGAGGACCTCGATGTGACAAGATCCAAAGAGTCTATTTAGATCAATGCTTTGATCACTGTTCTCAAAAAGACTTGGGATTTTCGTACTGTTAAGCCACCCTGAGTCCCCCTTTGGGGGTAGAGAAGGGCGGAATACAAATATTTAAAATAAATAAATAAATAACTGACAGATCTGAATAATCTTGCACAATCTTTAAAGGTTTATGAGAAGGCTAATAACCATGTAGCTCTGTGACACATCCAGTGAAGGAAATTGAATTTCAGGAAAGCTTGTGGTAAAAGAACTCAGCTAATCTTCAAGGTGTTGCTAGAGTCCTTTTTGCATTTGCTCCCTTGTACAGTTTCTCATGTCTATTTTTGGCTTCTCAAGAAGTTGAACAAGAAAAATAGCTTCCAAGAATATGTGCCACAACTTCTTGCCTTTCCTTGTTCAAAAATTTATGTTGAAGTGAAAAATGTTTTCTAGACAATTTTTTTTTCTTTACAGAGCCGATCAGATGTGTATGTATCCATGTTCCCAGATTACACCTCTGTGAAAACTGGAATCCATTGGAGCCAGGTAGAGTAACCCAAATGGAACTGATTGAAGGTTTAATATAATATAATATAATAATATAATATAATAATATAATATAATATAATATAATATAATATTCAAATTTTCAGTGAAAAGATAGAGCCCCTGGTTGCACAGTGGGTTACACCCCTGTGCCGGCAGGACTGAAGACCGACAGGTTGCAGGTTCGAATCTGGGGAGAGGCGGATGAGCTCCCTCTATCAGCTCCAGCTCCTCATGCGGGGACATGAGAGAAGCCTCCCACAAGGTGATAAAACATCAAATCATCTGCCCGTCCCCTGGGCAACGTCCTTGCAGACGGCCAATTATCACACCAGAAGTGACTTGGTTTCTCAAGTCTCTCCTGACACGACAAAAAAAAAGTGAAAAGATGTCTGGAATAGCAAACACTGAAACAACATACAACATAGCTCTTCTGTGGCAACAACTTCTCTGGCCACAGATCTGTTCCCAGTCACAATGTGACTTATTAAACTCTGTATGACTTGGGCTCAGGGTACTCTGAAAGACCACATCTCACTATGAAATCCTTAGGGAAGGGATTTCTTTTGGTTCAGCCACCACCAACAGGATGGTTGATGGGAAAATATTAGAAGGCCTTCTTGGGTCTGGTCTTAACTTGTGGAACTCCTTCCCAAGAGAGGAATTGGTTTCCTTGGTTCTCTTTCTTCTGGCTGGCAAAAATTTAAACAGGCCTTTGTCAATTAAATCCCAAATCACTGGGTCATGTATGTTGTATATTTATTCTCATTTTTATATTTTAAATGTAAGCTGTTGCATATTAGTGCTCTGAATTAGTGAAACAGTTAACGGAAGCTTTTACTATATAAATAAAACTAGTCTATGTTAAAAGTTAACCAAAATAATGTATTCACTGAGCTCTGCATTCATGGTAAATAGCCACCACAAGCAAAATAGTAACTGAATTCTGTTCAACAGTTAGGAATGAATTCTGTTCAACAGAGAAGTTGTGTTATTATTTTTAGATGCCAAGAAAGCTTTTGATAATGTTCTCTGAGAATTCATAGAAAAAGTATTCATCTGCTATGGGGTAGGTCAACAATTTAAAAGGGCAGTTGGCACCATCTATTCAAAACAAAAAAGCTAAATTAAGGATAACTGATCAAATGTCAAATTATACAGAGAATGAGAATGACAAATATGCACATATACTATGCTAGATTTTCATATCCATGCTTACAATGCCCAAAGTCCCATAGACATATCTTAATTCTTAATAAAATAATGAAGTTTGCCTATTACATGCTCTGAAGTCGGTAACATTCAGCAAATTCTGTGAGCACTGTGTAATGTGAATTTGATAGGTCAACAGTGAATGAAGAAGGGGCTCCCACTAGAATGGTGACAGGTCCTCTCTACACTGCCATATAATCAAGATTATCAAAGCAGATAATCCATATTATTTGCTTTGAACGGAATTATCTGAGTCTACATTGTCATATAATCCAATTCAAAGCAGATAATCTGGATTATATATGGCAATGTAGAAGGGGTCACAGAGCTTTCTACTCTGGATTGTGGCAACTTCCGTATTCTTGTATGTATTCTCATTGAAAGCTAGTATGGGATATATTTAAACGTTCTCCTGCAAGTCTAACACTTTTTTGCTTATCTTTTCTGTTCTCTTTCATTTTACAGTTAAGGAAAACAGGGAAATTCAGATACTTTGACTATGGCTCAAAGAACATTGAAATATACAACCAGGTAAGATGTGTTGGGTCTGGATGTAGCTTGGAAAAAAATGAATATTATATGCATGAGTCATAAAGTACCTCCTGTGCTTTTGCAAAACTTCAGCAGTAAACACTTGGATTATCCAATCCAAACATCATTTCCAAGATGTCTTATATTATGGCATAAAAGTATAGAATACACAATATAGACAACAACAAATCATAAAATTGCATGAAGGTCAAATTAAGATTTTACTAATTTTCTTGACTTTTATCAAAAATTGCAGGTATTTCTGAAAATATGGAACAATGATATCTAAGTATATTTCACAGGGAAACTAATGAGAAAAAAATTAGAAATATGCAAAATTACAGAACATTAATTATACAACCAGCTGTCTCTACTGCTTGCTCTCTTCCTTAATCTTTCTCTTCCAAGAGAACTGCAACAAACATTTCTAGGATGCTTTAGTGTTACTATATGTTTTAATTGTGGTAATGTTTTATACTTGTATGGGTGATGTTATGAGCTATAATTAATATGTTTTATTGGGATTATTTTCTCTATATATTGGGATTTGTCCTTTTGATCTGTTTGCTTTGATTTTACCTTTTGGATTGTAAGTGTGATTGATATTATGTATATTCTTTTTTCTTGTTGTAAGCCTCCCTGAGTCCCTGAAGGGAAACGGGGCGGGATATAAATAAAGCTTTATTATTATTATTATTATTATTATTATTATTATTATTATTATTATTATTAGCAGTAGCAGTAGTAGTAGTAGTAAGCACATTAAGATGGTTTGAGTGGGGAGTACTAATCTTATTTAAAATCTATAAAACATGTATAGACTGATGCAAAGGTGACAACATATCCTCCAACATTTCACAGTTGAAAACTAGAAAATGTGTGGCCAATTAGAGTGTGGTTAAGATATAAACAGTTATTAATGAGGAAGAATGCATAAGCTAGGAGAGGCTGTTTGTTCTGTCTAAGTATACAGGGAAAGTTAAAATCCTCCCCTTCTGCTGAGTTAAAAAACTACTCTTGAACTTGGAATTTAGTTTTCAGCGATCAAAGTAAGCTGAAGTCAAGGGGAAAGGGTTGAAAGAAGAAGAGAAACACAGACGGCAAAAGCAGTTGAACAATGGATGACAGATGATAAACAGGGCAGTCCCTAAAAAAGCAGAATAAGGCCCCTTCCCCACAGACCCTAAAATGTTGAAGGAACTAGGATAAAAGGGGTGTGTGTGGCTAAATGATGTTTGCTGAAAATGTGTGCTAGATCACATTAAGCACCCAAAAAACACATATTAAAATGTGCACTTAAAACCCAATTTTGCTCAAAAAATGTGCGTATTCACATCACTGTAAATCCATGCTCTCAAGGAAAACACGACTTCATTCCTATATGCTACTGTGGACTACTCCAGTGCATGACCACATTTTAAAATCCCAAAACAGCTGATTAGGGCTTTAAACAAATGTAACCACAGACACATGGTGGCTAAATGGAAGCACAACTGGAAAGCAGTTCCCATGAGAACTCTCTGCAACCATTTCTTCTTCTAATCTTTATGAAATTAAAGAGTGCTTGCCGAGGGTGAGGAGAGATAATAAGAAATCTGCTTGCATGTAGATTTAGATTATCCACATAAGCTCATTTGAGATCCAACACATCTCGAAGAGTAAATTAAAAACAAGAGTAAACTTCCACCAGATGTCCCCCATCCTTCCATCTTGTGAATTTCTAAAATCTGCTACAACAAAAGTGCTGGATGGCAGGGGAGACCATTTACTAGGACTGACAGGTCTGGTGTTTGGACTTGCTGTCAGGTCCCACAGTTTTTTTTGTCCCACTTCTTTGTCCTGGATTATGAGGCTGGAAGGCCCTCAATGCAGTGCATCTGACAGTTCAGTCCTGTAGTATCTATTCTGAATTAAGCTTGCTATGTTCAGTGTAGTCTACTTCTATGTACCACATTGAAGCCTAAGAGTAGCTGATGTCACACAACTTAATGATAAATGGAGCTGGTGTTGCAGTTGAGAGAAGTTAGTGCTTCTTTTTGAAAGATCTCTTTAAAACAATGGTGTTTCACACTTACGTGTGTTTGTTTACAGAATATTTAAGTTGTGATTTTTGAGAATGTTGTTAGGAATGCTTTACAGACTTTGAAAGCAGCTCTCCCCAGAAAAATTGAGTGACTGAATCTAGAACATTTAGAAACCTTATCACCTGTTGTATTTCATCTCTGAGCCCTACTTTTCCTCCCCTCCGCCCTTTCTCTTCGTCTTTCTCTCTTCATTTTTTCATATTTGCATATATTTATTCTTTCCTGAGTTTTGAATGAGTTGAAATCTACATGGTATTTCCTTTACTCGTTATATTTGCCCTTTCCCAGACTACTCCACCTTTTTACAGGATAGAAGATGTTGTTGTGCCAGTTGCTTTGTGGAGTGGAGGACATGACTGGATTTGCCAACCAAAGGAAACTGTAGAGCTACTGTTCCACATCAATAATTTGATTTATTTTAAGGAGTTGCCTGACTGGACCCACTGGGATTTCATTTGGGGCATTGATGCTCATCAGCGCATGTACAGGGAAATGCTTTACCTTATGGAAAAGTACTCATGAAACCAATCTGGGCTTAAAAGCTCTTTCGGTTGAGTATCCCTTATCTGGAATTCCAAAAATTTTCATGGAGGTGTCCGAAATAGTGACACCTTTGCTTTCTGATGGCACAATGTACACAAACTTTTTTCATGCACAAAACTATTACAAATATTCAGCCTAAGTGTATAAGATGTATATGAAACAAGTCAACTTCATGTTTAGACATGGATTTCATTTCCAAGATATCTCATTATGTATGCATGTATGTATGTATGTGCAAATGCAGGTACTCCAAAATGTGAAATCCAAAATATTTCTGCTCTCTTGTTTTGGAAAAGGGATACTTAACCTACAATTTCTTCTCATCACTTCTGTAAGATTAAAAATTGTAGTCCTATGATTCTGTGCCCTTTTCTTTTAGAAAATGTATTTCATTTTAATCCTTTGTGGAAATATATACATTATGGAATAAATATTAGACTTCTTAATACATTTTTTTCAAAAATGTTGTTGTTTTGTGCTTTCATGTGTTCTTTATTATTCATTAGCATAATTTTAACATGCATCCTTCAGAATGCTGTAGGGCACCACCATGATTATCTCTGATGGTGAAAGATTCAGTTTTCAGAGACGAAGAGGTTTGGGATGTTGGCACAGGGAAAAGACGCATTGAAAGAAAAGAGGAACTTATGAAAGAGCCAATGTGGCATAGTGATATGAGACTCCATCTACACATGCTGTAAAATCCAGAATAATGTGGATTATAGTGGGGTGGTGGTGGGTGGCTAGAAAACTCATGCCCCTAATGTGCGCTACAACATGCATCCGCATGTAAAAACGCATGTTACTAAGTCAGGAGAATGTCCAAAAACAGTGATAAAATGTTTTGCAGCTGACCAGTGTATGGGAGAAATATGTACAGCACTGGTGTTAGCAGCACCACTTCTGGAAAATGCAGATAAGGAAGGACCATATCTCCTTCCATGAACCGACCCGATCTCTTCGATCTTTGGGGGAGGCTCTTGTTTTATCCCTGCCACTTTCACAGGCTTTCCTTGTGAGAACAAGGGAGAGAGCCTTCTCCGCTGTGGCCCTCTGTGGAACCCATTGCCTGGTAAGATTAGGCAAGTCCACTACTTAGAAACCTTTAAGAAGGACCTCAAAACCTGGCTCTTCCGCTGTGCCTTCGGAGAGTAACCACATAACTAGACATTGCTGCTCCTCCTCAATGTTTATTCCTACAGTACACTTCCCACGCTTGTATGAAGGCCTGTTTCTAAGCCCCCGTTTTATGTGCTCCCCCTTACAAATAATCTGCTCCATTCCTATCTCACCCTGAGTTTTTAATATTTTATTCTGTACATGTGGCCTGCTTATTGCCACTGGGATTGTGAATGACTTTTACTGTGTTGTATATTGTTTACTGTATTCTCATGTTTTATGTATTTTATTGTGTTGTTGTTTCATGCCTTGGTTTTATTTTATTTTATTGTAATGTGTTGTTGGGCTTGGCCTCATGTGAGCCACCCCAAGTCCCCGTTGGGGAGATGGTGGCAGAGTATAAATAATAATAATAATAATAATAATAATAATAATAATAATAATAATAATAATGAACCAGATAGGGTGCTCTCAGGAATGTAAACAAACCTTTCTCCAACTTCCCTGAGAAGAAATCGCTTTTTGTTTATGAGTTGGAAGATGAGCTCCATTGCTAATTCATATGCATTGTGCTCCTGAAGATCAGTGCATTTTTCCTAATGGTTAAAAATCATTTTATTGGATCGATTTGGCATGATGAAAGCTTTGTGGATACAGGAGGAGCTTTTTCATGGTTTCCAGGGTATGTGTGAAGACTCTCCGGGGTGGAACTGGATTTCATTAATTCACATTCTGATCTAGATTATGTGGCTGTGTAGAAGCAGCCTGGGTGTTGGATTAGGTCCATTGGAGACCAGAGTTTGAATCCCCATTTGCCAAAAAAAAAAAAAATCTCATCAGGTATCCTTTGGCAAAGCATGCCCCCTTGACTTCAAAAGAAGGCACTGGAAACTGCTCCTCAGAACAAACCTTGCCATGAAAGGTTAGTTCATAGTAGGCTTCTCTTGAGGTATCCATTAGGCATGTGCAATTCATTAAAAATGGTTCTAAACTGTGTTCAAAAGTAGGGGGTGCTAGCACTTCATTTCTAAAGTTCCTTCTGAATTTTGGGGGTAAAAATTTTGAAACTTTAACGAAACTTACAAATCTGTAGTGGTAGGACACATTTGTTACTATTAGCACACCAAATTTGACTTATCCATGGATTTTTGGTGAATTTTCAGTTTTTTAATTTAAAAAATTACAAATCTTCATACGTATCTCATTAATGGTGATTGCACATGCGGATTAAGAAAAATATCACAGTCAGTGGGGAAAATATAGGGGCTTTCCTTGCCATCATTTTGAGCTTTCTTGATGAAACTTGCTATAGTGGTAGGACATATTTGCTACTAGGCATGTGCAATCCATGGTTCTAAATGGTTCTAAAGTACTTACAAAACTAGGAGGCACTGGTTCTTTGCTTCTACAGTGTTGCTAAAGTTCTGGTGGTCAAAATTTCAGAACTCTAACAAAATTTTCAAAATTTCATTACAAATTGCAGTTACTAATTGGTTCTGTCATAAAAATCATCAATAATGAAATAATAATGAAATTTTGAAAGTTTTGTTAGAGTTTATTTATTTATTATTTATTTACGACATTTATATGCCGCCCTTCTCACCCCGAAGAGGACTCTGAGTGGCTTACATATATACATACAATATATTATGTTATTAGCATAGTACGATATCAGTATTAAATATTACTATATTATACTATACCATTATATTGTAATATTAGTAATATTACATGTAATAAAATATATAATTATAATATATTATTAGTAGTATTATATTGTATTACATTATAATATATGATTATATTATATTATATTATTAGCATAGCACAGGAGACCATGTGGAGCTGTCTTCTGGCCCCCTCTCTCTTCACTCCAGCCCAGAGCAGCAGTTGGTGCTGATGGAGGGGTCCTCAACTGATGACATATGAAGGAGAAAAGGTAGAGCTGTCCCCTGGCCCCCTCTCTCTTCACTCTGGCCCAGAGCAGCAGTTGGTGCTGATGGAGGGGTCCTCAACTGATGGCATATGAAGGAGAAAAGGTGGAGCTGCCCCCTGCCCCTCTCTCTTCACTCTGGCCCAAAGCAGCAGTTGGTGCTGGGAGGAAGAGTCCCCAACTGATGACATATGCATGAGACAAGATGGAACTGTCCCCTGCCCCCCTCTCTCTTCACTCTGGCCCAGAGCAGCAGTTGGTGCTGGGGGGGGTGTCCAACTGATGACCTATGCAGGACACAAGATGGAAATGTCTCCTGGCCCCCTCTCTCTCACTCTGGCCGGAGCAGCAGTTGGTGCTGGGAGGAGGGGTCCCCAACTTATGACATATGCAGGAGACAAGATGGAACTGTTCCCTGGCCCCCTCTCTTCACTCTGTCCCAGAGCAGCAGTTGGCACTGTAGAAGCAAAGCACCAGCGCCCCCTAGTTTTTACCACCAGAGTTTTAGTTTTGTAAGTGCTTTAGAACCATTTAAGCATGGATTGCACATGCCTATTTGCTACTATTAGCACACTAAATTTGACTTATCCATGGATTTTTGGTGAATCTTCAATTTTTAAAATAAAAAAAATTACACATCTTCATAAGTACCTTGTTAATGGCAATTCACCTTGCTGCTCCTTCTTTCCTTGTGGAAACCCGGCGAAGAGTGAAGCTTCACCAGGGCTTTCTGATGAGGTTGCTAGAACTAATAGTTGGATTCAGGCAATTTTGAGCTGCGTTGGACAGGAGTTGAAGAAAAAGAAATGGAGAATTTCAGAGGATAGAGATATTACAAAATAAATTAGAAAAGTGTGGGTTTTTTTAAAGGCTATCTATCTCTTGCATAAAGAGATCTAGGAAGGCCATGCCTTCTCCTGCTGAACTATATTTTGCCACCAGATAAATTAAGTTTAATAAGGTTGTCTGAGACCAGAGGTTGGCAAAATTCTGATGCACCAACACTCTTGTAGAGACTGCTAAAGACCTTGTAAAAACTCTGGGGTGCATGTACACTGTGGGATTGCTGCAGTTCGACACAACTCAATCTGTCACTGTGGGATTACTGCAGTTCGACACAACTCAATCTGTCATGGTTGTGTGCTAAGGAAACCTGGGTGTTGTAGTTCATTCTGAGGCAACCTGTCTGCAGTCACCCAGCACAGTTGGTGCTGAGGTCAGGAATAGTGCTTTATGACATTGGGGTCCCCTGGCTACAATATAGGCCAGCATCCCCCCCCCCCCGAGTACCTATCACAACCCTATACAGCCCTACTCTCATCCCGTTTATTGTTTGCTGTCTCTTTGTTGAAGTCATAAAGAGCATTCCCTGCAAATGAAGAGAATGAAAATGGTACCTGCCTGGCCCTTTTTTGTCCTGGCAGCCTTCCTGGTCAGCAATGTCCAGACTGCACCTCTTGAGGAGGATTCCACAGGTAGGCTGTACCTTTAGAAAAGAACCAGGGAACATTTTAACTGAGTAGTATGTAGTATATTCCAAGCGTGTCTTCCAGGTGTTTGGGGTTTTATCTCTCAGAATCCCAGATCATTGGCTGAAGCTCTAGTAAATAGAAATCAAAAACACCTGAAGAACTGGACTCTGTGGCCTCTTCCGCACTAGTGCCCTATATCTCAGAATTTGATCCCAGATTATCTGATTTAAATTTGTTTATATGAGTCTCCACTGCCAGATGATCTGGGTTAAGTAGATAAACTGGGCCTGGATACTGGGATATAAGGGTAGTGTGGAAGGGGCCTGAGGCTCCTTCTACACTGCCATATAAAATCCAGATTATCTGCTTTGAACTGGATTATATGGCAGTTTAGAAATTACATATATGAGAAACCAGCACTTTCTCATTACTTTATTTCCGAGTATGGTCGGAAATATATCACCAGACTGGGCCACAGCAACGCATGGCAGGGGACGGCTAGTCTATATAAATAAAAATGTAATGTTCGTTTGTGGGATTAACATAACTCAAAAACAAATGGATGAATTGACACCAAATTCGGACACAATATACCTATCAGGCCAACAAGTGAGCATCACTCATAAAAACACTGAAAAACATAATGGAAGAGACTTAAAAAGCCACCCCCCCAAAATTACATTACAACGCATGCACAAAACCACCTATGTACA